AGTTATAGTGGATGAATGAGAAATTCAGTTTCTTCAGTCTAATATGATACAACTGTTTAACGAAGTGGCTTTGTATAGGGTGGTGTTGTTGAGAGATATCTCCATGAGAAAGTTTAGTGAAGAAACATTACTTAAATTTATTTTGCTCGAGGCGATCCATTTTTCTGAATTATATCTCTTCTTTTTCATCAGATCTATGCCTTCGTCGATCACGGTTGTTCTCGGCGGCCAAAATCATTTTCAAATACGGGTGCTTCCAGTCGAGGTTAGTGACCGCACCGAATTTATAATCTCAACTGTAAGATTGACAGGAATTACTTTCGTGTAACACATTTATTTTAGAGTTGCCGCCAAATAGGCATATGTGTGATTCGAGTTTGTTTTATGGTAATTGGAGTTATCGTCAGGGTTTGTTGTATTTGGTATTGTCCTCAAGCGTTGTTGTCCTGAAGCTTCACTGAATTAAACTCGGGTCGCATAGACCTGCTACTTCCGTGCATAACTTTGCGAGAAAGCGTAGCTGGAACGTGCCTTGAAATATCAACTATTAGGATGTGAATGCCTGCTGGATTGAAGATCCTCCAGTAAGCACCCTTAATACACTATTAATAGAACCTAATTATGAATCTAACCGAATTGAGCCTCATGAATTCAGTGGATGTATGGTAGATCTTAATGGCTTTAGTGTTTGTCAATGAAGCGGTTTGTGTCAATTTGGATTGTTCTGCTGCGATTTGTGGCTGATCACTGTTTTGTTGTGCTTGATGAATCTATATATCCGTCTTCTGAAATTGATAAATCAATTCCTTCATATTATCCTGTATTTCGCTTCATCTTTTTCAAATTCCATATGTTTATGTTGAATTCCCTCTGTTTTGTGTTGCCGATATGATGCCATTATTGTGGTGGGAATCGTATATAGAGAAATACGTTCATTGCATTTCAGCTTGTGATTTGTTTCACTTCGGAACAATTGCAGGTCATTTGTCTTTCTCGATAGGCCCACCCTTTTCCTTCATGGTGATTCTATCTAGGCTGTTGTTAAAAATAGTAATTGATAAGACGCCACATTGGTGGGAAATCGTGAATTGAGAAAAGTAAGTGGGTGGTGCACTGTGTGATTGTGGCTGAGTGGTTTGGGTTTATCTAGATTCTGTGGTATTGGTGGTAGTACACCAGCCCGTACAAATGAATTACATGATTAATACAACCTAATTACGAAACTATCTCAATTAAGCTTCATGAATTCAGTCGATGTCGGGTAGATTTGTAGGACTTTGTTGTTTGTGAGTTGTTTCTATGAATTTGGTTTGTTGGGCTGCAATTTGTCGCCTAATACAGCAATCATTGTTTTGTTGTCTTCGATGAGTTTATGAAATAGCCTTATATAATTGAAAAATAATTTCCTTCATACAATCCTTAATTTTTGTTCGTATTTGTCAAATTATATATGTTCATAGGGAATCTGTACTATGTGTGTTGCCGATATGATGTCATCTTTGAGTTGGGCAAGATATGTAGAGAAAGATTCATTTCATTTCATTCTCAGTTTCCATTTCATCTGTCCGTTGATTGTAATTTGTTTTTCTCACTTTAGAATGATTTGAGGTGATTTGTGTATTTATTACTCTGTCTAGGAAATACTAGCTTGGTCCTTCATTAAACAACCTAAAGAGTTTTGGGTACAGGTATTGCAATCTAAATACTTCCGTACTATTAACGGAGTCTTGACGTCCAGATCTATGGGCTATGGCATGAGCATCACCACTTTGGCGGGGCATAATAAAAGCGAGGTTGAGTATGGAAGAAAGTACGTTAATAGTACGGAGTCTATGGCGGTGAAGAATGGTGAAACTACCAACTTCTGGACGGGTAGATTGGGTAAACAATGGTGAAGTTCTCATAGATCATGCCTTGCCATCTGCTCCTCCTCTTGATGCTTCTCAATGAGTTTCTTCTTTATTTGACCCGCATGGGCAGTGGAATGAGCAACTCCTACACAATACCTTCCCCATAATCTTCTCTTGCAGATGATCAGTATCCAACCACCGAATCCAAGCCTAGGGGAGGATGTTGTAGTGTGGGGACCAGAGAGTGATGGTCGATTTCACATTCGATCGGTCTATGACATCGTAATTAGCTATGATGTTCTCCCAGAAGACTTGAATTGGCGGATCATTTGGAGGTGGTCAGGTCCTGCCTGTATCCGCCATTTCCTTTAGCTGGCTGCACGAGATTGTCTGCTAACAAATGCTGAGAGGGGACGTTGACACCTCACTTAGCTTGCAGGATGTAATCAGGAATAGAGGTGAGGACTCATAGGTTCATGTATGTTTTGGTGTCTCTTTCATCCGCTGGGTTGTCAGTTTTGGGATATAGTTGAGGTTTGATTATTATATTAATTCCTGTTATATTATGTATGTTAAGATTTTGTGTTAACCAAAAAAATTATTTATTGCTATAAACATCATAGTTCGTGAACTTCTTTACCACTAATAATCTCTTCTATACCATTTCATTGAATTAGAGATTGTACATTACTGCTACTTGCTTTTTAGATTAGGATTATGGTACCGATGATTTGATCTAATCTCCAAGTAAAACTTACTCAGAATTAATCAAATATATTTCGACAGTTGAAAAACTGAAAAAACTACGACGCTAATTTAAATTTTCCATCCATGAGAGGGTTTTCGGAAGGGTATACTAAGCAGGTAATTGAGTTCAACCGTTCCGTTAGCCTCCTAATTATGAACATAGTTAGTAAAATATGATACGAGTAAGTTATGTATAAAATACAAAGCATGTGTATTTTACTTGATCTCTATACTAACCGTACATATAATAGTACGTAAATAAGTATAAAAGATAAAAATTAAAAATTATATAATATAATTAAATAATATATGAAGAATAGTTAACTTATAAATTTAAATCATTCGATAAGAATATTAAACGTGTTATACGAATTTTATACGTGTTTAATACGAGAACTATCAAATGAACGGTAAAAAATGAAATGACTTGACAATAATACATTTTCTATGAAAATAAAACATATAAACATCAGTAAACTACTATTATAGCTCTGACTGGACAAATTATAACTGTTGGGCCCAATTAATTTCAGCCCATTTTCCCGTTCCTTTCTCTTTCTTCTTCGCACAAGTTCTTTCGCTGGTTAGGAGAACCGATGCGACGAGCTACATGGATGAACTTTGAATCGGCGGAGTCTGTGATTAACCCTCCAGGTGGGAGGGACTATTTTCGTTTATGTTGCTGACGTGGTTCAACATTGTAGCCACACTTGGTTGTGTTCCAGCGGAGGCCCCTTGCATAGTTGCTTCCCTGCTCTATGGATCGCCGCCAATAAACTCCTTGGATGGTCAGCGAATTTGTGTCGGCAACATCATGAATCGCAGCCTCGCAGGTTTGTTTTATCATAACCCAATCACGGAATTCATAGTGGGGTTTGTTTTGGGAAATTCTCATCACTTTAGGGTTTTCGTACTGACCGGTTTCCATCATCGACAATAAATTGGGGTGTAAGTTATATCACCGGGCCATAGAGCTTCTGAACTTAGTACTTATGCAGGTTCAGATCCCTCAATCTCCGCATCAACAATGGCCGTCACAAGGGTGCTATTCATTTAGTCGTTGCTCACATTAAACATTATAAAAAATCCACGCATCAATGGACTCCCTCGAATTCAATGGAGCGTTAATTTGATTAATGACTTTCTGCCCATTAACAGCAGACGCCTAGAAGCTTCCCCCTCATTCTGCTTATTCTTCTTAATGCACATATGCAAACCCGACTATTATAAGTTTTTTTTATTTCTGAGTGATATCAAAGAGATAAAATAGTTAATCTTACAGTTCTACCCAGGACCCCCTTAAAGACAATCTACCGAGTATTATAAGTGTGGGCATGTTTAATACTACTCAAATAATCTAAAAATATATGAATGAATTGATTATTATGAAATAATGATAAATAGGATGAATACATCCGACCAACGGGTCGGGTAATGTTTTTATTGTGTTTAAACATTAGGAAAACTTTTCAAAGATTCAAACAACTGAATATGATAATTAAGCTTTTCTTGCATATTGGATTTAACTCTAATTTTGTTATTTGCTCTCAAGTTTTGATAGTCAACCCCAAACCACACTAGACTCAACACAGCTTTGACCAAGACCATATCGAATTGAATCTAATATGTCCTGGACCTTCATCCTACCAATCATACAAGTTCAAAAGAAAAATGTTCTGATGGGACATTTCGAACGAACTTCATCGGATCCCACCAGATCGAAGTCCAGTGTTGGATTCTATGATTTGTTTCATTAATGGACCGTGTTTCTAATGAATATAAACAATCAAATATGAACATGCATAATGTTAAACAATCAAATATGAACATGCATATCTCTGTGGGAATGCGATACCTATTCTGCATCAATACATTATTTAATGAATGGTGAGTTTCTCACTTTTACATGACTTATTATTCTTGCTGTTGTTGATGCCTGTCAACTGGGTTGTGACTGCAAGCAATTTGCAAGCCGCTGGTGACTTTTGTCTTTCAAATTCCGACAACTGGTACTGCAGCAGAGCGGCTTCTGTATTTATACGATACATCTGTATACACAACCCAACGACAAATAATTCGATTTAAATAATATATGAAAATAATTTAACACTATCCGGCCAACGGGCCGGGTTCAAGCTAGTAATTATATAGAACCGTCTCAATTTTTTTTTTTTGTATTTTAGTATTAATTGTACAAAACAAAGAGAGAGGAACCACGGAATTAAGCTTTCGGGATAACTTATTAAATCCCTAAAAACCATTCCTAACCGCCGTCCCCACGAAACCAAAACAAAAAGGGAAAATTGAAAAAGGAGAAAACCCCGCGCCTAATCATTAATTACTAATTAGCAGTCCACCATAATAATTAAGTAATAATTGCTCTAAATTGTTTGCCAATTTAGTCTAACACCTCCATGCTGACGTGGCGATGAGTGGCCGCTCGTGCCAGCAGAGCACCAGCTCAGCCTGCCGTTTGGCCACGTAGAATCCCCTCGCTTGAACTTTCCCCAACAGCGTCTCCGCCTGAAAATCCGCGAACTGGCTCCACCCAATCGGCCACATACCCGCCCCGGCGAAGACCTCCTTCCACGGCGGCGCCGCCCCACGTCCGCATCCTTCCACCGCCGCCAAAATCCTCGGTCTCATCAGAAGCATCTCGATCTTCCTCGCCCAATCCCCGCCTCCGATCGCCGCCGCCCCGCCGCCTTCCAACGACTCGAACATAATCGAATAGAACTCCAAGCTATTCACGAAATTCCTCCTAAACGACGCCGTCCCTGAGGAATCCCCCCACCCTTCCCAGTCAACGAAAACGACGACGCTTGGCCCCACCCGCCGAAGATCTGAAACAAACGCCGTCGGGCCGCCCGTCAGGCTCAAACGGCGGAAAATCGCAGGGGAGAGGAGGACGGCCGTCTTCTCTCCGTCCACGAACCTGATCGACTTAAACGACAGCGCTTCGAAGGTCCGGAGGAGCACGAACTCGATCTGGAACCTCAGCTTCAGCTCGTGGGCGAACTGCGTCAGGCTTTCTCTTATCAGCTTCGTCTCGATCGCGTACTCCTCCGTCACCACCGCCGTCACGCGGAGGATCGGGGCCCCGAATTTGCAGACGGAGCCCCGCTCCGCCAGCTCCCGCATGAACGAGGAGTACTGGCAGCCGAGCCCGATGTCGAAGTCCACGACGTGGATGAACGGCGACGACGGCCCGTCGAGCGCATCGAGCAGCGCTTGATTGGCCGTGAAGTGGGCAAACATTGGGATCGGAGATATCCCGGAAAAGGCCCTGTACGCCCTAATCGTTTCCACGATTTCGGACCACGAGGAAAGGTAGGCCGGAGGGCGGGTGGAGACGGTGAGCAGAGACTGCAGGGCTTCCTTGAAGAAGAACGCCGCCCGATGAAGCGGCTTCCCTCCTCCTCCTCCTGCCGCCGCCGGCGACGGCAGCTTCTGATTGAGCCGCTCCAGTATCGCGTGCGCCAGGTGGAATTGGTTTGAATCGAAGCAGTCCGCCGCCCGAATTAAGTCCTGGACGGAATCGAATCCGCCGACGGCGGCTGAATTGGGGGAATTCAGGTTGTTGTGGAAACTGTGGGGGAGGTCGAGGGAGCTGAAATCGTGGTTGTTGAGGAAAACGTCGCCGTATTCGGAGTGATGGACGAACAGGGTCGGGTCGATACCCGGGAGAGCCGACCCGAAAATCTGATGATGATCCCCTGCTGCTGCGGATCCCAAACTCTGGCTCTGGAGATGGGAGTCGGCGGAAGCGAATTGGGCAAGACTGGAAAGTGTGGTCTTATTGGTGTGGCCGGAATTGTTGTTATTACTACCATGATCTTCGTGGAAATCCAATTCCCTCATAATGGAATCCCAATTGAAATTCTCCAGAACGTGATCATCCCACTCGAGCGGGTCAGGGGCAGAGACGAGCTTGCCAACAGCGGGGCTGGTGGTCCGACCCAGTTCAAGAACAGAGGTGGGCTCGTAGCACAGACCAGGAGCGAGGCTGGGGAGATTGTTGTTGCTGTTGTGATGGTGGTTGCGAGGTGGGTTGGGTTCGGAATTGATGGAGGAAGCAGGAACAGGGACTTTCATAGCGCAGCTGATGATCAGGTGGAAATGAGAGGAGGAGTGGCAGAGAGGGAAAAAGGGTGAAGCAAGCAAGCAAGGTTAATATGGAAAGTAAGGTATTGGAAAGTGCGGGAGGGAAGGGGCTTTTGGAAGTGATGATTGTGGTCTTTTTATCTTCAGCAAAGCAAAGCGTCGCATGGCGTGACGACGGTGGGATTGATCCGACGGTGGTGGGAGGGACACTGTGGCGGAGCCACTCACAGAATTCACTCAACCTTTTTTGGTAGAAACAGGGCAGTATCTCATCTCATCAGAGTTTATTAATCAAAATCAACACTAATTAGAGGGATTAAAATATAATACAATTTACAAGTTTGTGCATAAAGAAAGCATAAGGTTTATCTGCACACCTTTTTGGTTGTAAACTACATTCATTGATTATGTTACAAATGGATTTTTTTCGATATACACACTTAGCAATCATAGTCTTTGATTGAAAAAAGGGTCCAAATTTTGTCTCGATGTCCGGTGTGTTGGGCGAAATATGAAATGATGGAGCACCTCTTTTGGGAGTGTCCAATCATTGTGGCTCTCTGGACTCATTCGGGATTGGAGCCTCTGGCGCATGGTTTGCCTTGTCAAACCTTCCCTCTTTTCCTTAAAAAGTGTTTGCTTAGAATGACCCAACCGACTCAGATTACGACTCTGGTGGCACTCCTTGGCGGATTTGGAAATCTAGAGACTGAGCTGCCTTTGAGGGCAAACTGTTCTTGATTTCTCAACTGATGCGCCAATACCATCAGCAACTCCATGAATGGATGTCCTTACCAGAGGACAGGTTGGTCCAAGATCGGCTTCCTTTGCAGCACAATCTGGAGGTGGTGGATTTGACTTATGTTGTCTGTATGTGGGCTGGAGCGGTTCGTGCTGACTCACATTCAGCGGGAGGGCTAATCGTCAAGGATGGAGGAGGGTCTGTGCTCTTAGCGAGAGGAATGGTTTTTGGAAACAATGTTGACCTTCTTGTGGTGGAGACTATTGTCCTCCGTGAAGATATTCACTGGTGTCAGAATCTTGGCATCCCTCAAGTTCGCTTTGAAGGTGATGCGAAGGTGCTCATTGATAAGATTAATGTTTGTCAGGGATGTGCAAGACAGTCGTGATGGGGCTATTATACAGAAGATTATGCGTCTCTTGGCCCTGAGTAGTGGTTTTCGGGTTCAATTCGTGGATCGGATTAGCAATAGAGTAGCCCATTCAATGGCTAGGAAGGCCCTTTCTTTGTCTCCGACTGCGTGTCGTTTGTATCATTTTCGTGCCTGAGTTGGTTCCAGGGTGTAGTTCGTGATCTTTTTATCAATCAATATGATTATATTTTGTTAAATTGGCCATCGACTGAAGATCATATTATCAACTTCATAGTTGAAAAATGCCCTTTTGTACCTTGCAATTGTAACAGGTAAAGTCAACTATAACTTCAGAAGCAAGTAAACTAAAAAATAATAAGTATTGTTTCCTCTTTTCACCATTCGTCTTGCAAGCTCAACCGTTCCTCGCAATCCATCAAAGCTCGTAACTTCCTCTGGCATGAGAAATAGTTCATTAAAAATTAAAATGACTAATATATATTTACATATTTTAGTAACTTTATAATAATAATTGGTCGTATCATAATGAAAGCGTGTCGTTTACAATTATTAGAGGTGAGTTAGAGGATTTGAATTCAAATTTTTCGTACCAAAAAGATCTAGACCTCTCACAAAATTTTAGGGCGAAGATGTATTGGCTGACACACCTTGTCATCACTTAGGTCCACCACTGACCGTGTAATGTGTGATTCTAAGTATCTTTTATTTTCGTAGTTTGTGATTACCCTCCGTTACAAAAATTACGAAAAACAGGTAAATTTTATAACAAATCTAATAAATAAAACAGATTGGTAAGGCTTAAGCTTTCATGCTTGACAATTCGAATCTGAATCTCTTGGGTCTCATTTTTAGGGTTTTCTACATTCAAATTTCTGGCTCGACCAACATCGTTTGTTTGCTTGATGGATTTAGTGAACGATTTGGTGATGGATTTGGGTTCATGATGAATTTTGTCCAAAATTTATTGTTTGCTTCAAGTATTTAGAGGTACCAAATCCGTAGGACCCATGGACTTTGAGGGTCCAAAATTTATTGTTTGCTTCAAGTATTTAGAGGTACCAAATCCGTGGGACCCATGGACTTTGAGGGTCCAAATCCATGGGCCCCACGGTCTTGAAAAATCCACCTTTGTAGGTGGGAATTGATCATAAACTTTGAAGTTCATTTTTTACCAACTTACCCCTCATATTTTCTTGTATCACGGTTTATCAAAAATCAAATTATAAAAAAACCTTCATTTTTCAAATCTACGAGCAAACACGACTCCTAAAAGTTTGTGGGTTTGTGGTGATGTAATTTTTAACGATAGTCATACATGAACATGAGGGACATGTGTGGCCATGACACTGCTGCTGAATTCATTAGTGAGAGAGCAACACAACAACGTAGAGTCTTCCTCCAACTTTTTATCTTGTTTTCTGAAGCTTCAAGTTGAAGGCTTTGTATCCCTTTTGCTTTCTGGGATTCCCTCCAGCCCTCATTGGGTTTGCCCAGCTAGTGCACTCGGCCCCGCCTCTGCTCGCTTTCTCCTCCCCACACTTTGCAAGTTTTTGGAGTTCCCTTTTTCGACGTTACATGTTTCGTGACTAAATCACTCACTACATAAATGTATTATTGTTATTACTTTTAATTTATTAGTTATTATTAATATTGTGTTGTTTAGTCGCACGTTTGGGAATACTCTAATAGCCTCAAAAATTAGTTCTTGCTAATTAAAGTGATGGTAGAGAATAGTAGTTAGGTAGATACTGTTTTGTTTGGGGTACTTTGAATCACTGAACTAGGAATACAAGTTTTAGGACCACCATACCAAAATCCATTTCAATTTATAGTTCTAAACTACAAGTATAATAAGAGCACTACTACTATGCTATATAGTATTGGTGCTTTAATGTACAACTTGAAGTTGTACCATAACATTAAATGTATAAGTTTAGGTTGTACCATAAAGGAATTTGTATCATTATGTTATGATACAACTTTACAACTTGAAGTTGTACCATCAGATAAAGGTACAAGTTCAAGTTGTACCATAAAAAAATTTGTACAAAAAGTATAGGTATAATCTGAAGTTGTACCATAACGTTAAAGGTACAATTTTAAGTTGTACCATAAAGACAAAAACCTATAGCACCAATACTATATAGCATTGTAAAATTCCTCGTATAATAATTGCCTCAAACTCAAATTCCCGACGGGGCCATGACCTCTCGGACCATGAACTAGCTCCACCCGGGGAACAGTGGGCTGCAATCTATGCATGGTGGAAAATCAAGTTTTTGCACAGCAACCCCAAGGCGTATATATGTTTTAGATATATACTAGGTGGCGATGCCACGCCTTGCCTCAAACTCAAATTCCCGACGGGGCCATGACCTCTCGGACCATGAACTAGCTCCACCCGGGGAACAGTGGGTTGCAATCTATGCATGGTGGAAAATCAAGTTTTTGCACAGCAACCCCAAGGCGTATATATGTTTTAGATATATACTAGGTGGCGATGCCACGCCTTGTCGTGGGACGGAGATGGCATATGGGCATGCATTATGTGGTCCGTTATGGTGTTTTGTTAGTACTAGTATACTAAAATTATTTTTTTGTTACTGTCTTGTTAGTAATATTGACTGAGAAGAGATATATGGCGGTCAACATTTAATTTAATATTTTTTAAAAATTTTGATTAATAAATTATATTTACTAAACCCAAGTAGACCCATAGATTATGGGTAGGGTATGAGTGACATATATATGGGTTTGAAAGTTTGTATATGGGTTTGGGTACAATATGGATATTTACTTTCATAATCTAAATGTGTATGAGTTGGGTACGGATACCCATTTATTCAAGGGTGTTTTAATTACACATACAAAATTAAACCAATTTGCTGAACTTCAAAAGTTTAGGTACCAAAATGTAATACACAAAAATTTGTGGTACTAAAATGTAATATTCCATCAATATTTTGTGAAATTATATGTCAAAAAAATATATTTAGGTTATAAATGTAAAGATCTATTAAGTTTAGGTACCGAACTGTAATTTGCATAGTTGAGACTTAATTCCTTTTATGGTAATGTATTTTAGATGATAATTATTTACTTTTTTATAGAAAATAGGGAACTATTTATTTGATATATATAGATACCTAGCCAAACATTCCATGTATAATTGTTGAAAATTCTAGTCCGAGTGAAAAAGAAAAACTCTAGAGAGAAGTAAAAGGAATACAAATTCGAACTCGCTTAAAATTTCACGCCTTCAAATATCACAGTGGAAAATGACGAATTTCTAATAAGTAATAACCATATATATTTATTTTTAATTGGACTCGACATTGAGCTGAAAAAGTTGGTGGTTCATGGTTCAATTATTAATTCTCTAGACTGTTGGTGAGTCGTGCATGGACCCGTTCATACTTGTGATTAGAATACATAAAAATAATATACTAATTAGGGTTAGACGAAGAAGGCAAAAAAAGAAATGAAGAGGAAGTAGATGATGGAAAGATTTTGACCAATTCTTTTAGTTGGTCGTCAATACAACAGTCAATTCTTTTCATTGTAGCAATTTATTGACACTTGCTTATGTAGATATCGCATATTTTGTTACATGTAGTTATTAGAAGTGAAGTTTGTTTAGTACCCTGTAAATGTATTAAATGAGTTTATAAATTGGCTCTTGCAATATTTTAGAGCCGTCTCTCTTTTATCACTTATTTAATGTATCACGTAATAAGCATATATAAAATAGTCGAATCTTCTCCTGCAGTTGAATGATACTACATCTTGTATGTACAAACTAAATTTATACTTTTATGTTGTGGATTGGATTCATGAATTGGTTCATAAGGATTGGTGGGTTGATTCATGGATTCA